ATACATCTACCATATGATCTAGCCATTCCTAGGTATTTTCCCCAAAGGAATGAAATCATGAGTTGATACAAAGACTTATATTCAAATGCTTATAGCGGTTTTATTTTTAACAGCCCCACAGTGGAAACAATCCCAGTTTCCACCAGCATGTTTAAGGAGAAACAAATGAGAATACGTCCATAATGTAGGATCACTACTCAGCAATCAAAAGGAATGATACATGTAACAATGTAGGAAAATATCAAAATAGTGACACCGCATGAGTAAAGCCAGACCAGAAGGAAGGAATGAGCACATGCTGTATGGTTCCATCTATAAAATTCCAGAAAATACAGATGAATCCATAGTGACAGAGCAGTGGCCTTCTGAGGATGGGGCAGAGGGCAGTACCAGGGAACCCCAGGGGTGACAGATATGTTCACTGTCTTGATTGTGATGGTGATTGTGGGTCTACGTGTATGTTGAAGCCTATCACATTACACATTTTGAATACATGCAGTTTGTTGTATGTCTATTATATCTGAATAAAGTGGCTTGACCTTGAAATAGATGGAAGAAACCCAAGTGTCTATCATTGAGTGAAAGAAACCAGTCTGAGAAAGCTATGTATTATATGATTCTTACTCTGACATTCTGGAAACAGTAAAACTATGGAGTTCGTAAAAAGATTGGTGGTCGCCAAGGGATAGGGGGAGAGAGGGATCAGGAGGTAGGAGCATGAGGATTTGGGGGGCAATGGAGCCATTCTCTGGGACTGAATAGCCACTGTAATGATGGGCACAGGTCATTACATGCGGGTCCAAACCCAGTGAATATGTGACACCAAGAGCGATTTGTAATATAAACTATGGGATTTGGGGTGATTATGAGGGCTCCATGTAGATTTGTTGTAACAAATTTTCCACTCTGGTGTGAGATGTTGATAAGGAGGGAGGTTGCGCATGTGTGGGGACAGCGAGTATATGAGAAATCTCTGTACCTTCTTCAGTTCAATTTTTTCTGTGAACCTAAGACACTTTGTAAGATGAAGTTTATAAAAAAAAAAAGTGGCTTGAGCAATTGAGATAGTTGTTGTCTCATTTATCAGGGGCCTGGGCTAGAGGAGGGGGAGCAGGATCAGAGCAGAAGTGAGTGTAAAACACAGCAAGGCTTCTGTATGGAGATAGCAGGAATGATCCAGATCTTTAACTGCAAAGGATATCCCTTGGATGACCTCAGAGAAACACTTGGGGATATCACGCTGAGATTAAAAGGAAAGAGTTTTGGAGCAGAAACCACACAAGTGGACTCATGGGACAGAATTCTCTCGTCGCTCACTCGACACATGACACTTACTACCTCTTATGAGTTGCTCAGGAAAGACTACAGCCATTTTTAAGGGGCTAAAAGCTACTAAGTGGCCAAAATAACCACACTTGTCTATGCCAGACCTTGTAGTCTCACAAAACACCCACCTCCTGTCTTGTTCTCCAGAGATCCCTGGCCTGGATGAATCACAAGTCTGAAGCGAACCTCGTATTTTCCATGTCTCCTGACTCCTCAACACCAAAATCACCTCCGGGGCAGAGATTCCCGATGGCAGGAGAAAGAGTGTTAGACGCTCCTGACCCTTACTGGAATTTCAGCAGTGACTGACTGCTCCTTGTCCGACCCCTCCCCCACAGCAGGCAGAATCCTAGACACGCCCGTGGTCACCAGGCTCTGGCCTTGGAGTCAGGATGGTTGCTGCCTAGTGGGCCCCGTCCTCCATGGATGTTCTGAAACTGTTTATCTCAGGACCAGAGAGACTCTCAAATTCTCCAGTCTCCTGCTAACTGCAGACTTTCAAAGTCATTAAGGAACGGTGAAGCTGATTCAGGGTAAAATTCCCAGCTGAGCCTAGCTTTCCTTTCCATGGTCCGAGTTCCCTGGAAGCCCAGGGAAGAAATCATGGCAGCAACCCAGCCCCTTACCCTTAAGTGGCTCCCACTTTTAGGAGCCTCCAAGGTCTGAACCCAGCTGGCCACTATCATTCCAAAGCTCGGGTGTGCTGGGGGCTCACTGCTTTCCTTGCTGGTCCCCTGGGAGGCTGGGGGCTCATTAGTTTTCCTCCTCCCGGTGCTGCTTCTAGCAGCTGCTCCCAGATGCCCTCTTCACAAGCTGGCGACCCATCTCCCCTCCCAACTCTCTGGACAGAAGGCCCCTTACCCTCCCCAAGGGGATGAGCCCATTCCTCAGTGGTTTTCCTTCTTTTCTCCTTATCTCACCTCTTCCTAGCTTTGTTCTCCTTTGTAAGGTTGATATGCTAAATTTTCTCTGTTCTTCAAAAACTTCTCCTGGATGGCACAGTTGGTTAAGCATCTGACTCTTGATTTTGGCTCAGGTCTTGATCCCAAGATGGAGAGATCAGGCCCTGTGTCAGGCTCTATTCTCAGTGCAAACTCTGCTTGAGATTCTCTCTCTCCCTTTGCCTCTCCCCCCGCTTATGCTCAGCTCTCTCTCCCAAATAAATAAATAAAATCTTTTTTTAAAAATTAATTAATTAATTTTAACACCCCCCCCCCCCGCCACAAAACCCCTGTTTCTGGACTATTATCTTCTCCCCTCTCCATTTCTACCCCCAACACTACTACAAAGTAACGTGGGCTTGCCCCTCTTCTCACATCTGGTTCACCCCAGCCCTCTACCAACCAGGCTCTTCCAAGAGCACAGTGACCTCCTAATCACCAAAGTATAGGGCCATTTCCGGGGCTTCATTCTTCTTCCCACCTTACTGATCTCCAACCTGCTTTTGGTTCTCCATTTCCTGACCCATCCCTTTCTTGGGGTCCCCCAAATTGCTTCTGGATTACCCCATCAGGCCCCCTCACTGAAATCTGGACCTTATTCAAATGGAAACATTTTGCTTCAGTGGCGCTTTTTACCGGCGGGACAGAGTCACGCCCTGACACCAGGGCTGTCAAGGCTGTGTATCTGTGGCAGGCTTGCCCGCCTCATTTGTGACCGCCTGTTTCTAGTGCCTTAACCTCAGTCACATCCAGATTTTTGCAACTCTCTCATTTGTCTCCATGCATTTATTTGCTTGTGCCATTTTTTTTTTTTTCCTGTCCAGAAGCCACCCTTTCCCCCCACCCTTCCCTAGGTTGAGACTTGCCTCTCAAACTCCCTGGAGGCAGCCGTGCTCCTGAAGCCTTCTCTGCATGTGTTCGGTGAGCTTGATGATTCCACAGACGCTCTGGCCCTTTGAGTCCCAGGCCGGCATCCTGTAGCCCAGGCCCATCAACCCAGCCCCTCACTGCTGCTCTTCTCTCTTTCCACCGTCTCCCTTTGAAAATCCATGTGGCCTCAGAGTTTTAATTTGCAACTCAGTTCAACAGAAATGCTCTGGATGGTAAGCCGCAAGCACTCTCCTGGCTACTTCTCAGCTCTCTATCTTTATCCCTCGTGTCTTCTCCTAAGCCCAGGACCACGTTCCTGACTGTTCACAGGATGGATATTTCCATCCAGACATCTATCTGGGACCTTATTTTTCTGGCCACGTTCCCTACGAACCTCCATGCTCTATGTGGTTTAGGTGGAAAATTTCGATCATCACTGATTCCTTTCCTTTCTCCCCACCGCACCTCAGCTACCAGTTCTGTCCATTCAATCTCCACAGCCTAAACAAACAAGTAAAACCTTCCTCTATCTTGTCCTTCCTTTCCATTACTCAGATCTGGTTGTGATGGTTAATGTTCTGGGGAAGTTTGGCTACTGCCCAGATATTTGGTCAAATACTAATATGGATGTTGATGTGAGGGTATTTTTTAGATGATATTAACTTTTAAATCAGTACACATTGAGTAGTTATCCTCTATACTGTAGGTGGGCCTCATCCAATCAGTTGAAGGCCTTGAGAGGGTTAAAGCCCGAGGTTCTCCAAGAAAGAGGGAATTCGGCCTGCAATTCACCTTTGGACTTGTTACAATATCACCTCTTACTTGGGACTGTTGGCGGCTGGCTCACTCTGCCAGCTTGGTCTTGTCAGGCCCCACAACTATGTGGGTCAATTCCTTAAAATAAACCTATTTCTCCATACACACATTCCCCTTATTGGTTTCATTTCTCTGGAGAACGCTGACTAATACACTGGTCCTACCTCCTGACTGAGCTCCCTGCCCCCTGTACTCACTCCCCTCCAAGCTACTCCACTGATACTCACTGATTTTTTTTTTTTTGTAATATTAATTTGCTCACAACATTTGCTGGATACCTGTTGTTCATGCTGTTCAAAGCTGTGTCTCCCAGACATCATACATTTGGCTATCTTCGCCATGATGTTTGACCTGAGTTTTCTTTTTCTTTTTTACCTAAGTTTGCAGTGATTCATCTATCCACTGGTTTATTTTAGATTTTTCTTTTTATCAGCCCTTCTGCATTTTGACAGGAATCCACGAATTTTAAGATAAAATCTCCTCCAGTTATATTATGGGTCTAAATCGAAAGGAGAAGAACAATTTTGTAGGAGGGTTTTGAGGCTCCCCTAACTCCCTCAAACCGTACAAGCTGATCCTCTTGACTTGGAAGCTCAATTTCCAAGATGGTAAGATTGAGACACGTTACACAGACAATGACACCTGTCTTGGGTCATCAGTGCAGAGATGGCCCCTTCATGCCTCTGGTACTGTGGATGGCAGTGGGGATGGTAAAGAGTGTCGCTGTCCCCTTACTGGGAGTGGGGTAGGGAAAATAAGAGGGAGGGGAGAAGAGGACAGAGGGAAGAAACCCTCCAAATGTTCCTAACTCCCTCTCCTGTGTTTGAAAATGTCTTACTTCGTTGTTTGCTAGTACTGATTTCTGGAACATCCATTCTGAGGAAAATACTGGAAAGAAATACGGATTTCCTTTGTGTCAATTTTCCCCCTTGTCAATATTATGACTTAGTCACTTTGTGGGGGAAATAAAGATGCTGACTCAGGGCGATGTGACCGTCTCGTCACTTCTAGTTCCTTTTTTCCTGTTGTATATCAAAACTCAGAGTCCATGGGAAGCGCACTTTTGCACTCACAGAAGAACCTGAGAGGAACCTGTAAGTAAATTTTTGAATATTTTGTCCTTGGAATTGCTTTTTTTTTTAATGGAGGAAAAAAAGTCAGTTGGAATAAGCAGCCGAGACCTAAGGATACTCTCAGCTCAGACAGTTTATCTGTGTACAGAAACACCAGAAAAAAAGTCTTATGGATGCTGGTCTGAGGGATCTGAGTAACGTCATCTCAGAGCATGACTATCCTCCTCACAGAGCAGCTTGGCTTAACTCGCCCATTTCCCAGCTTTTGAAGAACCGATGCCTGTTGGCCAAGCCTCCGGGCGGTGGGGAGATGCAGGGCTGGTGGGCCCGGCCCACCCTGGAAGGCTGCCCGGCTTCACAGACAGTGCCCTGCACAATGACAGACTGAACTGTTCCCCAAATGCTCTTCTGTTTACCTGGTAGCTTTCATTAATCATTCCTTTCTTGTGTGGAGGTTGCTTTTCACGGGGGGGTGGGGGGGGGGGGGGGGGGGGGGGGGGTGGAATTTGCTGGCTTTCCCAAGGCAAGAATGATGAAAAGAAATGAGGATATTCATTTCACCTCAAAAGGAGGCCTCTGTGACTGCTCAAGCTGTTTTGGCCTCCAGAGAGAACAGTGTGTTCCCAAGCAAACTAGAAGTTTGCAAGAAGAAAGAAAAAAGAAGGAAGGAAGGAAGGAAGGAAGGAAGGAAGGAAGGAAGGGAGGGAAGGATGGGGTGGGGGAAGGGAGGGGGGAGGGAGGAAGGAAGGAAAAAGGAAGGAAGGGCAGGCCAAGAAACCCTCCATTCTTCCTTTGTTCCTCTTAAAAGTACGGAGCTGGAAAATGCCAGCATGTAGAGCCCTGATCTGCTGCTCTCCTGTGCCTTTCATTTCAGACCGTTGAGCAAGCAGGAACTTTAGAACTCATCTAGCCCAAGGGAGCTGTAGTTCTGAGAGGTGACGTGACCTACCCAAGGTCACACAGCTCATTCTGGGTAGAAGCAGGCTAGACCACAGGTCTCCCATCTCCCTGGTGGGTGCTATTTTCTCATTCCACTCTGACCTTTGTCCCAATTTCCTCTCAAATGAGAGTCCCATCAAGTCCTGCAGGTGGTGAGAGAGGGACTGGGTAGGTAGGTTCCCGCTGGCGGTTAGCAGAGCTGGCTGCAGGAGCACAGAAGAATAGAGGGATCTGGGTTTACTGCACCCCCCCAGCCCCCCCGGGGTGTCCACAGACCGCATCTGGGCCTGTGGAACATAAGCTATTGGCTTCTTCATGGAAAGCAGGGGCAGAAGCTGATCTCACTAAATGGAAATGTTGGGATGTCAGACAAGGGGAGTGTTCCACAAGTAGGGAAAGAGGGGAGTCATAAGACAGTCCCGAGATCCTGATCTCTAGGGCCCTCCACAAGGAAGTCCACCTTGATTTCTCCAGCATTTGCACTGAGGTTTCTGTCTGACAGCTCTGGAGCGGCACTGGGGACGTGAGTCTCCAATGTCCCCCAATCTAGAAAGTTCCTGGGATAGACCATTTGTTTGGAGGCTCTCGTTATTACTTCATGCCTGCATGTGTCCTGGCTGCTTCCTGGGCCTTATATGTGAAGCAAGAATGTGTTACACTTTGAGAAGGGTTCTGTGCCCAAAGAATGGTGCCCAGAAACTTTGGACCCCCTGACTCCCCCACACAGTGGACCAGTGGGGCTCTGGGGTGGGGACTTGGGGACTTCGCTGCTGCCTCTGACATGTAACCCCCTCCTGGGGAAAACAGTGGAGGCCACTGTGCATGCCTCTCACAGCAGGTGTCTGCTAGTGCGCTGCAGGGTTGATGGAGAAGCCCGGTGGCCGCTGTTTCCCATGGCAACAGCTCAGCTCTGCGTGAAAGCAGGCTGTGTAGCTCTCACCAGGGACCAGAGGCTCCTTATCACCAGCCCCATTTCCCGCCTTGCTTCTTCCCATCCAGCCACCCCCAAATTACCTTAACCCATGGAGGAGAGATGGGGCTTCCTCAGTGATTCTCTGCTGCGCACTCCAGCTGTCGTGCCCCGCCCACCCTTCCCGGGCTGTGGTGCAAATGATAGTTTAGGGGTAAAGGAAAGAAAGTGGTAATTAGTCTTGGAATATTACTGTGGGTAAAAGCAAGAAGCAGGGGGGCACCTGGGTGGCTCAGTGAGTTAAGCCTCTGCCTTCAGCTCAGGTCATGATCCCGGGGTCCTGGGATAGAGTCCCACATCGGGCTCTCTGCTCGGTGGGGAGCCTGCTTCCTCCTCTCTCTCTGCCTGCCTCTCTGCCTACTTGTGATCTCTCTGTGTGTGTCAAATAAATAAATAAAATCTTAAAAAAAAAAAAAAGCAAGAAGCAGGTACGCTGTCCTGGGGAGGCAAGAATTTTGAGTCCGAAAATAAATGTTATCGATAATGGAGGCAAAACAAAGAGGAACTGCAGGGAAAAGGGATGGGTTTTGCCTTTCTTTGGCTCCCAGTAGAAGCAATGGAGAGAGGGAGGGAGGGGCTCCAGCCAGGAGCACAGAGAAGAGAACAGAGTTAAAGAGCTTTGGGCAAAAATAAATATTCCCAAGGCACAGAGAACAACATTTATGCATGAGACTGGAAACTGGCCTACAGGATGTTTTTAAAATGTCCCAGGGGAGAAAAGGAAGGAAAGACAATTCTGATGAGTGGAAAAGAGGAAGAAGGGAAGGAGGGGGCAGCGCAGAGAGAAGGAAGAATGAGGACTCCCCAAAGACCAAGGTTTGCAAACCGACTGTCAGTGGCCAAAACCCAGCCAGTCAGAGTATTTAAAAACCATTTGAGCCAAGTTTGTTTTTTAAGTCAGGAGATGCCGCCTCCCAAAAATGTAGATTTCTGGCTTCTTTTGGGAAAAAAAAAATCAGAAAATTTGGCCACACTGGGTCTCCATACAGCCTTGAAGACCATCAGCTGGGACAGAAGCCGCTGTTCCTAGAACTCAAACTGAGATCTGGGCTCTCCAGCCCTGAGACCGACCATCCGCTGCTCCGCACCCTGAACCCTGAGAAGTAGCTGTACCTCCTGATTTCCTTCATCCTTTCCGGTGCTTGTCTGACCCTTGTACAGTTTAAGATGCCAAGTACTGCCCACCCCACCCTGATTTTCTGGCGCAACAGAGTGTGGGCACCAGCACTGACCCTGGGAGAGAGGGCTTTTTGAGTTGATAATGCAGGGCCCTGGGTCCCAGACCTCAGACCAGGGAGGCCTTCACCAAATGGGCTGGTTTAAGGGAAGAGTAAGTCCGAGCCTCAGGCTGGCTGGAACAGTCTCTAAGGAGAGCATGGAACAGGCCACAGCTGAGCACAGGGGTCAGCCCAGGGAGAGGAGCTCCACAGTCACTTCTGGAGGGTTCCATAGGCACCCGCTGGCGGTGGAGGTGCGAGACCCCGCATGCAGAAGGCAGTGCAAGGAGAGCGTATGCCCGCATTGTTAAAGCCACGTTCCAGCTTGCGTGCATGATTGCAACTCTGGGCACATACTCCAAGCAAATTTAGAAGCTGCTCTTTGAAGATCATTTTAAGAAGGTCTAGAAAGCTGCCCATCCTGAACCCTGAGGGCCACTGGAATGAGGGTTAGAATCCTGGCTTTTCCACTTCTTAGCTGTGTGACCTTGGGCACATTACTTGACCTCTCTGAGCTTCAGTTCCCTCATCTAAAATATAGAGATATAAGAATAGCTGTAATATCTAGAGCTGCGAAGATTAGAAATAACGTACATCAGATGCTAATAGCGGCCAGGAGCTCGGTTAACAAATGGCTAGCTATTACCTAGCACTGCTATTAGTTGGCTAGTCTCGGAGGTATAGACTCTGGTTTGTCCACTTTTCTAATTACGTGTTTGCCTGAAGGTAAATGTGGTCTGTGGGAAATTTTAACTCTATTATCCAGGAACACTGGTAAGGATTTTAAAACAGGGTTCATGAAAAGTCAGAGATGAGATGCTGACGTGACAGGTAAAGTGGCAGGAACTGGGGTCTCACCCCAGCTCCGTCTCTAAAGCCAGGACAGCCTCCGTGAGTCCCCTATTTGGATTTTTGTTTCCTCATCTGTGGAAACCACTGGCTGGTGTCAGTCCTCTCGAGCTGCATTGCTCAACTCAACGACACCAGCCGCATGTGACTATTTAAATTGAAATTAATTAAAATTAAATAACATTAAAAATTCAACTCTTCCGTCACATTGGCTCTATTTCCAGTGCTCGATCACCACATATGGCTAGCGTGACAGCACGGATATAGAACATTTCCATCATCACAGAAAGTGCTATCAGACAGGGCTGAACCCGTGAGCTTGCTACCCAGTGTCTGGTCGTCCTCTGAGTGCCATCGGCCACCTGGGAACTTGTCAGAAAGGCAGAGTCTCAGGTGCCATTCTAGACCCTTAGAAGCAAAATCTGCATTTTAACAAGGTTCCCCAGTGATCACAGACTCAAGTTTAAGAAGCTCTGATCTGTAAGATTTGTTTTAGCTCTAAAAATAAAATTCAAGAATCTGAGTATCTGCTTGGCAAAGTCTTGGGGAAAGAAAGAAGCTACCGGCTTGTCCAAATCCTGATTCATTGAATTGCCTCAAAGGAAAGAATTGAGGTCTTGTGATGGAAGTTCAGCAGGACACACGCACCCCTGCGGGAGAAGAAGAAGGAACTCAGCAGCCCCCAGAAGGAGACCCGGAAACATCAGTGTTGGGAAGGCGGCGAATCCAGCTCTCGTCACTATGCCTCCCATCATCCTGGGGCATTCAGTCCTTTCCTGAAGACTTCCAGAGAAGGGACATTCTCAGTTTTTTTGTGGTGGCAAAAAACAAAAACAAAAACAAAAACAAAAACACAAGAAATGGGCAGCACTTTCTGGCCCGGGTCTTCCTAATGGGCTCGCTAAAGCTCCCCTTGTCAAACCTCACCAGCAAGGCACTCAGGCAGATCTTACATTCAAGTAGGGCAAATGAGAAACAGATTGGAGAAGAAATCAAGGCCACGTTCAACAGTGACAGTAAGGGCAGACTAAACATAAGCTTCCAGGCACGTGGTCCAAACCCAGGTCTGTGGCTTGAACTGTAAAACTGAGAATGTACAACCGGAATGTACACTCTGGAATATGGTATGGAGGTTCCTCAAAAGGTTGAAAATAGAGCTACCCTATGTCCCAGCAATTGCACTACTGGTATTTACCACAATGATACAAATGTAGTGATCGGAAGGGGCACGTGCACCCCAATGTTTATAGCAGCAGTGTCCACAACAGCCAAACTATGGAAAGGGCCCAGATGTCCATCGGTAGACGAATGGATAAAGAAGAGGTGGCACATATTATAACGGAATATTATGCAGCCATCAAAAAGAACGAAATCTTGCCATTTGCAAATTTGCAGATGGAACCAGAGGGTATTACGCTGAGCAAAATAAGTCAGAGAAAGACAATTATCATGTGATTTCACTCATATGTGGAAATTAAGAAACAAAACAGATAAACAGAGGGGAAGGGAAGGAAACATAAACTAAGAGGAGATCAGAGAGGGAGAAAAACCATACGAGACTCTTAACTATAGGAAACAAACTGAGGGCTGCTGGTGGGGAGGTGGGTGGGAGGAAGGGATAATTGGGTGATGGGCATTAAGTAGGGCATATGATGTAACGAGCACTGGGTGTTATTTGCAACTGATGACTCACTGAATTCTACCTCTGGGAAAAAAGAAAACAAATAAATGAAATAGAGAATGCATTCAGTGCTCTCCTTGCAGAAAGTTTTGGTGTCTTTTGGTGGCGTGCTCTTTTCAGTATAATAACAAGGAGGATAATATTAGATCTGTTGCTCATTAAGAAAACATGTGCCTCTTACAGGACAAAATTGCAGTCATATATCTTATTTAATTGATATTAGTTTTTATTGTCTAATGTTGCAGTTTTAATGTGTCCATAAATCTGTTTCTTACTTTCAGAGAAATATCTGTATTAAGAACACCCTGTGCAAGAATGAAGGCAAGAGAAGGGAAATATGAATCCAAAATACATATTATTAATTTTTTAGGAAGCAAGCAAAATGGTGCCTCATAAAGGATATTAGTGGGGGAAAAAACAGCTGGGATTTCTGATTTACTTTAAAGAAAAATCTGCTGATCAGAGACACAGCCTTCTAGGGCCAACTATCCTGATGCGGGGCGGGGGCGGGGGAAAATGATCAGATAGAAATGAGTTTGTGATCTACAGGTCAGCTCTTAAGCGGTCACTGGCAGAAAGTGTAACATGTTTCCAGCAGAGACACACCGAGCTGAGTTCTGGTCACATACCCCGGAGTCAGGGAATCTGGCCATGGTGCCAGATTCTGCCCCAGGAGGCTGCCCCAGGAGGCACGGAGACCAGATCTGAGTTCCACTGCACCACCCACTGTCTGTGGGACTGCTGACAGATTTCAGAGAGCCCCTGAAGCCTCAGTTTCTGTGTGAAAGGCAAAGGGTCCTTAGGATGGAGGGAGATGCTTTCTGGAAAGTGACCAGAAGAGGCAGTGAGTCCCTTTTAGTGGATCGTCTAGTCTAATAATGGTTTGGGGTCCAATCCAAAGCTGTGACAAAACAAGCAAAGAGGGCCACGCCCAGGAGGGGAGGCAGAACTTGGGACCCACTCTGATGCAAGGTATCCTGCCCATGGCCCACCCGCTCCGCTGATGGCTGCTGTCCCCCTGTCCCAGCCGCGGGACAGCTCAACTCAGGGTGGCAGTGCTGGGGAAAGCTTGGGAGCACAGGTGCCCTTTGGAGATTTCCAGGGATCAGAGTGGAGCAGAATGGGGTCAGTGCACGGGAGCACTGCCAATCTCTAAACCAACCCCAGACTCCAAAAGGAGGCAAGCGTGCAGGAGAAAAGAATTATATCCTTCTGCTGGTGCCCGTTCTAGTGGTTACTCCAATTCCCCTCCGGATAGAGTGAGAACATCCTCTTAGGCTGAATTCTGAATCTCTGATAAAGTCGGTCCCACACGGTAATTAATGACCCTTCCTCAACAGTTACTTTCTCTCCAGATCTCTTTTCTGTACAGAGCATCTCCCTTCATGAGACAGGAACTGCGAACCCTCTGTATTATTGCAGGAGAAACTTCCACAGGTTTGTTCCTCACCTGCCTGTTTCCGCGTCTCCTTTTTGCCCTTCATTCACCTCGTTCATTCCGAACACAGAAAGACTTGCTTCTCCACCTTGAGCTGCTCAGTGCCTGCCTACGAGCCAATGCCCGGACAGGTCTGCCCCCACTGGGTGTAATCCACGGGCTCAAACTGTGTCCGGCTACTCCAGAAATCCAGCTCCTGATGGAAATCTGATATGAGCAAGGGTGTATGTGACTGTGTTTAAAATCCAATCCATGTCTTCATTAAAATCCCATGAATATGTTATAACGCTCATTAGATGTTTTCCCGCTAATCAGGAGAGAAACGTCTCAAATTGATTTTATGGGGTTCCCAATGAACCCAAGACTCTGAGGGCATTACAGAACTAAATATGCGTGGCCGACTGGGTGGCAGCAGCCCCACAGTACCTTTGTTTGGATGATGCCACATCTGGGAAAAGAGAAATGATGATTAACACAGTGACAAAATATTCTTATTTTCCTTGCAAGATCCTTGGGGGAGAACTGCCCTCAGAGGGTAGGGGTGGGTGGGAAGGGGGTGGGTGAGCCAGCGTCACAGAGCAGAGACATGCTGGCCTCAGTCCAGGGCCACGTTTAAATTTGGATGCCCTCGGCATGCTTTCTGGTCTGCAAAATTAGAGCACAAGAAAAGATATGACGATCAAAAAGTGATCTTACGGAACTCCATGCATGGAAATTTCAGCCTGTCCATCAACCGAGGTTTTGTTGGAATTATGAAGATCCGTGATACAGTATTGCTGCTTTTATCAGTTAATAATCACGGCTTAATAAAGCGCATGGAATTCAATGGCTTAGAAGTTGGTCAGGAGGGTCTCCTTCAGCTGTCTGGCACTCGGCTGGCTCTTGGTTGATGGAACTGACCGACCCTGTAGTCTTTGTCCTCCAGCAGCCCAACCTGGTGTGATAGGCTGAACAATGCACCCTCCCACCCCCACCCCAAGATGCCCATGTCCTGACGCCCAAAACCCATGACTATGTTATTCCGCACAATGATAGAGGCTCTACATACGGGATTAAATTAAGAAGCTTGAGATGGGAAGATGCTCCTGGATTATCAGGGTGAGCCCAATATGATCGCAGGGGTCCTTATAAAGGGAGGCAGAAGGATCAGAGTCCTAGAAGAGATAAGGATGGAAGCAGAGGTCCAAGAGAAGAAAAATGTGCAAAATTGCTGGCTTTGAGATGAAGCAATAGTCCATGAGCTTCCAGAAGCTGCAAAAAGTGAGGAAATGGATTCTCCCCTAGAACCTCCAGAAGGAACACAGCTCTCTGGGCCCATTTTAGACCTGATCTCCAGAACTATAAGAGAATCAGTAGGTGTTTCTATCAGCCTCTAGGCCTGTGGCTGTTTGCTACAGCACCAGTGGGAGACTAACACACGGGGATATGATAAGAAGTTAGGAGGAGGGTTCCGAGAGAGAAGCAGGGGTGAATCACAGACTCAGGACTGGCACTCTGCCACTTCTGCCTCATTCTACTTGCCAAAGATATCACAAAGCCATTCTGAAGTCAAGGGTTGGAGAAATAGACCCACCTCTTGATGGATTATTCTCTTTCTCTCGCCTCTTGATGGGAGAAGCCATAAAGTCCCATTGGAAGGGGTGTGGAGATGGAGACGGGTAAAGAATTATGACCACCGTTGGCCTCCAGTCTACCACCATGCGCTTTACACGGTGACAGGGGACGTTCAAAAGCAATGTCTGACCCTGCTGTTCTTTTTCATTTCCAGGGACGCAGGCAGCATGGGTGTCTGGAACTCAGGCGCTGTCGTCTTCCTAAGTCTTTGGGGGATATATGTGTCTCCCAGAAGCCCTGGCTGGATGGCCTTTATCCAACACTGCGGAGTCTGCTGTTTTGTGGCTTTCATTTCAGTGGGGCTTCTCTCTGTGGCCTCCTCCTGGCTTCTGTCCTCACTCACGGTCTTCAGCACCTCCTGGGTGATCACGGGCGCTCTCCTCTGCTGCTCCAAGCATGCGCGATGTTTCATTCTTCTCTTCTTCCTCTCTTGTGGCCTGCGGGAAGGCAAGAGCGCCTTGATGGCCGCCGGCACGGGGATAGTAATCTTTGGACACGTGGAAAATATTTTTCACAACTTCAAAGGTCTCCTGGATGGTATGACTTGCAACCTAAGGGCGAAGAGCTTTTCCATACATTTTCCACTTTTGCAAAGATATATTGAAGCAATTCGGTGGATGTATGGCCTTGCCACTCACCTGAATCTATTTGATGACCTTATTTCTTGGAACCAGACTCTAGCGGTCTCTCTCTTCAGTCCCACTCAAGCCCTGGAGGCACAGTTAAATGACGCCAAAGGCCAAGCCCTGGGTGTCTTGTATCAGATGGTGACAGCAACGGAGGCATTGTCCTTGCTGGGTCAGCAGCTGCTTGCCCTGACAGGGCTTCTCCTGGTGCTTCTTGGCACCGGCCTCTTCATGAAGCGATTTTTGGACCCCAGCGGTTGGAAGTTTGAAAACATCTTCATCACCAAACAATTTGTTCACTTCGATGAAACAGAGAGGCGTCTACAGAGGCCAGGCGTCCTCCCGCTGAATAAGGAGGAAAGGAAGAAATACGTCACCATTCCGTCTTTCTGGTTGTCTGCGAAAGAAAGGAGAAACCTGGGGCTGTTTTTCCTCCCCATACTCATGCACCTCTATATCTGGGTGCTGTTCGCAGCCATCGATTATCTGCTGTATCGGCTCATTCTCTCAGTGAGCGACCGTTTCCGAAACTTGCCCGGGCTTGAGGTTCACTTGAAACAGCACAGAGAGGTAGGCGCAGGCTGGCGGCGTGTCCTGGCTATTTGCTGGGGTGTCTTAAGAAGGACCGTGACCTTCCCAGAGCAGGGCAGCATCTTCCTCACCTTTGGATCCCCGTGACGGCACAGTGCCTGGCATGTTGGCATTATTGGCACCCAATAATTGTTGGTGAAATTGATTTGAAGTCCTACTGTTCCAGTATGATATCAGTCTGAACATCTCAGGTCACTGTGTTAGTTTCCCAGGGCCGCTGTAATAAATGAACACAACATGGGTGGTTCAAAACAACAAAAATGGATTCTCTTATAGTTCTGGGGCTAAGAAGTCCAAAATCAGTATCACTGGGCTGAAATCAAGCGTTGGCAACGCCACACTCACTTGTGACGCTGGGGGAGAATCCACAAGGGGCTGCTCTCAACTTCTGGTGGTTTGTCGCTTTCCATGGCTGGTGGCTTAGCCCTCCACCTTCATGTCTGTCTTTGCTTCATCTCCTCCTCCATGTGTATAAAATCTCTGCTTCTCTCTTAAAGGATGCATGTGATTGCATTAGAGCTCACTAGGCTAATCAGGGTAAATTCTCCAGCTCAAGATCCTTGACTTGGTCACTTCTGCCAAGTCCCTTTTTTCCAAATAAAGTAACATTTATAGATTTGGGACCTTAGGATCTTATATCATGGGGGGGGGTGCATTTTTTGCTTTCTATAGTCAGCAAACCCTGAAATGTAGGAATCAGTGTTTCTGATATGGAACATGAAGTTGGTTCTCAAGCGAGAGTACCTGGCATGAACCAAGGGTCCTTCTTCCTTTCTCTGTCAGACCTGTGCAAGTAGACTTTGAGTCCTTTTGTGAATGAGAGCTTCTCTTCTTTGAATCTTGAGCCCTTCTACAACACAAAAGGCCTCCCAATGCGTGCACATAGTTTAAGAGGATGGTCACTGAAAAAAAAGGGCTCCTAGGTAACCAAATGTTACCGCTGGTGCTAGAAGGCGGAAATAGCCCCTAGAACAATGAAAACAACTACCTTGTTTTTTTTAGGTTAGTGGTTCTCAACCTTAAGTATGTTTTAGTATTTCCTGGGATGGATGCAGAGTCTCAGGCTTTAATTTACAGAGAATCTGTTTTCAAAAAGAGAATAACTTTAATAAGCACTGCGTGTGACTTCAAAGTAGGTGGTCCATAACTTTGAGACACTTTGGCTCAGACACCCAAAAGCAGGGGCTTTCTAAACCAGTGGATATCTCCTGTGGCTGCATGGTGTCATCACTGTGGACCTGAGCAAGCAGATGAACACCCCAAAAATCAGATTTCAGTGGATCAGGGTGCGGCTGGGGTGGGGTATTTTTAAAAACTCTCCAAGTAATTGGGCTGTGCGGCCAAGATTGAGAACCACTGTTCTAAACTCCACCCAAAAGAATGGAGCCGGAGGGCACTGGATAGATGGATGATAATCTTGATTAGTGAAGACAGTGTTTCCCTAAACCGGTGCTCCCTGAGTCTCGGAATCTGCCTTTCTCTCCCTTGTTCTCGCTCCTCTTAGCAGCTGTGTCCCCAGCCAAGCAGACCATGGTTTTCGCGAATCCCAATTTTCTCTTTTCCCTGGGGAAGTGTGTGATTATGTGGGCATTTCAGAGGATGTGGATATCGTCAGATATTGCCTTGATTTCTTTTAAACGCAGAGGCTGTGAAGCTGAGCTAGGTGGGATGTGTGCGTGCACGTGCCTGGGTGCGTGCATGGTGTGTGAGTGGGCATGCGAGTGTTGCGCGTGCTGGGGCGGAGTGCGCTAGCCTGGGGTGGTGAAAACCCCGACAGCTGTCTCCACATGTCTGATTTTCCTTTGCTTGCTTTTGTCAGCTACAGTAGGGGAACTCTTAGAAGGAAATGGCAGAAAACGTGTCTGCAAACCTTCCTTGGAAGCCCTGTTTTCCATGGCTATCTTTATCTCTGGGCCTGGGGTCCTCCTGTAGCGTCCACACTCTCCCTCCCTGCTTCTTCCGCCCCTTCTGGTTCTGGGCTGTTTCTCAGAGTTGATGACCCCCAGCACTCTACTACCCCTAAAGAATTCAGTGAATTCCAAGATCCCTGTTGCTCGAAGATATCTGGAGCAGGGGGCATAGGGGATCAGGGTTTCAAGTGAAATCCAAACTAGATTTCCAGACATGCTTGATGTGGGAGGGAGGGGCTGGCAGGTTAAAGGTCCTCTTCCCACACCTCCCCCAATGCATTCTCCTTTGTCTTTCTTCCTTGCTGGGTTCTTCCTCTCCTCTCTTCCCTGTTTCTTTCTCTCACATTTATTTCTCCCACAGACAATACCCATGCCTGCTTTGTGAATTCTCACCATTTTAGACAGAAGGAGAGAAAAGCAAGTTCTGCCTTTCAAAAAACGCCCAGAAGCTTTCCAATGACAATGTCCTGACAAATACATTTTTGGGCATCACTGGGGAGCGGGGATGCAAAGATGTCTAAGCTTTCCGCTGCTACCCTGGTGGACTCACATCCTGGTGGGGGAGGCCGCAACGCTATCTCACACAGCGACAGCGGGGCAGTGGGCGCTGGGGCAGATGTGCCTAAGAGACTGCCTGCCGCGGAGGCTCCTCTCAGACTCTCTCCTGCCGTGCCTGGAGGACTGCCGTCCGCAGCCGGCTCCTGGGACCCACCATGGGGCTGCCCTTATCCCAGGATGGCCTTGGAGGCTCCTGGTCCCTCCGTTGTCGCAGGATTGAAAGGAGACGTCCAGTTGGGGAGAGAAGCATCCCCTCAAGGTTTTGCCAGGATTCCTCTCCCACCCTCATAGGATTTTACATAAATATTTTCAGTAAAGAAGAAAGAAGGGAAATGACCCAAAGTGAGCTAGCTAGATGGGTGGACATGGAAAGAGAAAATAGCCAGTGCTGTTACTTAACCAGCCCCTACTTGTGCATAGAATTTGTCCACATCGACTTCTCAGGACAGTCTGATACCAGAGCAGATCCTCGGTCCATACTCAGCACTGTCTGGGCAAATTGTTTACTTAAGAGAGGTAAACACATTTTAAAACATCAGGGTACCATTGAGTATATTGCTCAGCATTTTGAGAGAATTCATTTCTCTTCCACATTACCCCCCGCCAACCCCATACGAAAACGTTGACTCAATCTTTATGAAGCCCTGACTCCCAATTGCACAATCCCCAGTTAGACTCCTAGACTAAGTAACTCCTTCCCAGACCAGACACCCGCTGCTTTCTTAGTGCAGGATTTCTCATCACTGACTCAGTCGATGTGCTCGTTTCTTCAGTAGTATTAAAAAGAGTGTAGGCCTTCGCTCTGGGGACTGAAATCTCTCTATTTAATTGTAGGTGAACTGTCTTTTTAATAAAAGAAAAGGAGAGGCAGCACCAATGCTTTTCATTGCTTAGGCACAATGCTGGGGAAATTACAGATGCTACCTGACGTTTGGAGAGAGGTCCCACACCTTTTTTCCCTTTTTTTTTTTAAATTTTTATTTTTTCTGAAAGGTCCCAGATTTGAAGTGTCCAGACTCTTCACAGGGACTGGGGTAGATCGGGATGCACTCCATTCTCTAGGTATGGTTGCGTTCTTTTGGAGAAGTCATTTCCTTCTCCCTGCCCCAGGGCTCTGGGGTGCAGCGGTGATAATAACTTACTAAGCACTCCTGTCTGTAAGGTTAATGCTCCATCCCAAGGTGCTTCATTTACACTGGGAGTAGTTTATTCATGGGCAGGATCTGGTCCATTAATTCCTGTTTTACCAAATTAGAAAACAAATCCACCGAGAGATGAAATGACTTTCTCAGGTCAGGAGAAACAAAGTCCTGAATCAGCACACACTTCTCTTGCTGGTGGTTTGGCTGCGTGGTTCAATGTCATCTTTGCCCTCTGTGTCGGTCTGTTGAGGGCAACTGGTTTGCACTCTTGCCTTCAAGCAGAAAGGAACACATTCCACCTGAACGTCCAGGAAAAATGAGAAAATGTCCTGTTTGAGACCTCTCCAGATAAGATTTAAAGCCACCTTCAGGAAATGCTATTTTTAGTATGCTTACACTAAGAATAATTCTCCACCCCACCCCCACCAAAGTCTAGAAGGTTGATTTAGAACATAATTTAATGCTTCTACATCTTTGTGATGTTGTGGTCTGCCGTCAAGGTATTGGTCAAGATGGAGGATATGACTGGTCTGTATTCCAAAAATCTCCTCCAGGGGAGCTAAAACCATCTTTCTCAGTCTCACATGTCCTATCGGGTAGAAACAGGTTTTCTTTAAAACTGGGTTATGTGGTCAAATTTGTCAGGAGAACCACTGGCTGACGTTAAATGGGTTTCTTTGTCTTCTTCCCAGAGACTTCAGTAGTCTCAGGGGCGTCCTGACTCTGCAAAGAAAGGACAGAGTACACAAACTCATCTGATACCATTCTCTCAAGGAAATCTCTATTTCCACAAACCCACTTTGGAAAAAGCCTGTGATAGTTTCAAATAAGACTCAGCCCTTCTCTTTACTCTGTTCCTAGCCCATGGGGGGAGCTGCCATAGCTGTCCAGCCAGAGCTCCCTCACGTTGTAAGATAAACACTGTCCATCGCAAAGCAGGATTGAGAAAGACCAGGACTAAGGGCAACCATGGCATGAATCCTTTTTTTTTTTTTTTTAAAGATTTTATGTATTTATTTGACAGACGGAGATCACAAGTAGGCAGAGAGGCAGGCATAGAGAGAAGGGGAAGCAGGCTCCCTGCTGAGCAGAGAGCCCTATGCAGGGCTCGATCCCAGGACCCTGAGATCATGACCTGAGCCAAAGGCAGAGGCTTAACCCACTGAGCCACCCAGGCGCTCCCCCCACCACCCCTATGGCATGAATCTTAAGGATTTTCTTCTTTCCTTCTAGGAGCAAGGAACTCAAGACATCATCTATGATTCTTCCTTTCACATATCTCTGTTCGAACCCACCTGCATCCCTGAACCAAAGCTCCTTCTGTCTAAGACCTGGGTTCCTCTCAGCATCATTCTTGTGATTCTAGTGGTACTGGGCTTGCTGTCTTCCATCTTGACGCAACTCAAAATCCTGGTGTTGGCCTCCTTCTACCCCAGCGTGCAGGCCGCCCGCATCCGATATCTGCATGGGAAGCTACTGAAGAAAAGATCAAAGCAAGCAGCGGGAGGAGGAAGCAGTCAACAGCGTCCCTACTTCACTAAGGCAAGGCCAAGATGGAGGCATGACCTGTCGTGAAGGAGATTTTGAGTTTGAAGGGCAAGTGGGCTTTCAAAGCCCTCTTCCGCTTCACGTTAGGGCTCACATTCCCAGTAACAGATGGGACATTGCGGGGGGGTGGGGGGGAGTTACCAGATGTGCGTGGCTAAGGCTCTTAGCTTCTTGATGTTTGGCGCTGGTCCAGGTGATTCTACAAGCTATTTTTCAAAACACTAATTTTAAGTGGGCATATTCAGTCGTGAGGTAGAGAGACTGGTGGGAAGACCCTCTGGGTGATTATTAATGGACAGATCTCAATTCAAGTTATTTATCACGCCAGGAACACCTGCATAACAGAGGGAACTAGTAAACTGCCAGGAATGTGTTCATTCTCCAGAATTAAAATATATGTCTGGTGTATATAGGTGATGATGATGATTTTATGTATATGACACTCATGCATATTATGAATATGGTAACCTCATGACTTCCTACAGGTAAAATGCATGCTGGTCAAAGATTTCGTTTAACTAATTAATTAACGAGAGAACAGAAAGAAATTCCAACCAACTCAAAGAACAATTCAAAGCACACATATGTAAGCCATCAGGAGCACCAAAATGAATGAGCTTACTAGAGGCAAAACTGGCTTCTCCAAGGTGGGTGGGAGGATTGATTAATTGCACTCCATGGGGAGAAAGTCATTTTCACGTCCATGGACGCGAATCATTTGCACTGTTGTTCTCGGCTCCCGACAGCTTACAGAGTTGGGAAATAGCTCATAAGTAATGAAAGACTAAGATAACCCACAAGGATCAGTTTCTGCTCATTCTGAAGTGTTTTTCTGCATTTTTCCTGATGCCAGCCGTCGCACGATGAAAAGTTTATGTCAGAGGCACATGAAATGAAGGTAATGATCATTCATCCATCTTTTTTGTCTCTTCAGATTCACTTCTGGCTTCCAGTCCTGACAATGATTAGGAAGAAACGAACAGGCCTGGCAGTTGAAGGCAATCCGTGAGAGACTCCGAGGAGCTCCGCGGCCATACAGCTGCGTCCGTTCTCCTGGGCTCTGCCCCCGAAGGTCCCCATGCCCCATGCCCCACAGAAGAGAACTGCGTTCCATGCACCTGCTGGGGTTTGTGCCAAAGCCAAGCCACTTTTCTTCATAAGGTCAAAGGGCTACCAGGTAAATGGCGTTGTCATCTGTCTTCCAAACAAAGCACAGGATCCGGACTGTGTCATAGTGTAGCAGAGAAGTCTCAGCATAGAGTAATATTCAAGGGGAAAAAAAAGAACAAAAAATAGGAAAAAATCAAAATCACTACCACAGGCTTATAAGCAAATGCCAAAGAGAATATACACGTTTAATGCCAGGAAAATATCTTTAAACTCTTTTGTCCTTTCTCTGCCCTTTGAAATATCATTCACAGCAATTCCCTACCCCCAGCACTGTCTGCCCTCCCCCTGTCCTTATTCAAACACAAAGACTTTTTCTGAAACCCTTATCTAGCAACTCCTAATTTCTCTTCACCACCACCTCTGCTCAAACCTCTTCTTTTCTGGAGCACTTCTGTCAAACCCTCTATCAAATATTTAGACCACATGTATCCAAACCACAGGAAGTGTTCGTTAAAAGGACCATCTTGGGCCGCTTTCTACGATGCTCAGTGTAGACGACACAGTACAGGGGCCTAATTTTCCCTAAACTCCAAATACCCAAAAGGGAGAAATACCTCCCCAAATATTGATTCCATTATCTCCAAAGCCCCTGAGTGAGAGAGAAATTAAGCATCATTAAAATTTTCTAATTTTTTAACTATTCATTTTGAAAACTTTTCAGACTTACCCAAGAGCTGTAAAATAGTACAGAGTTCCATTTACCCTTCATCTGTCATCCCCAAGAACCGTAGCATAATTATCGAAACCTGAGAAAACAACCTTGAAAAAATGTCTCATGTACAGAGTTTACTGAATTTATGCCAGTTGTCCCACTAATACAGCCTTTCTGGTTCCTGAGTCAGACCAGGCTCCCACGACATGTTTAGTTTCAGTCTCCTCCAACCAGGGACAGTTCTTCAGTCTTTCTTTTTCTTTTGCGACCTTGATGCTTTTGAAAAGTACCGGCTAGTCATTTTGTAAAATGTCCTTTGACTTGGGTTTGCCTGATATTTCCTGGTATAATTCTCCCAGATAACGTACTTTTCGATAGAATACTACAGAAGCCATGATGTGGTCATCTCGGTTTCCCCTTGGGCCAGGGGGCACGGGGTGTGGACATGTCTCATTACTGGTAGGGTTAGCTTCCATCATTTAGTTCAGATGGGGACTGCCAGGGTTTTCCACAGTAAAGTAACTGTTTTTTGCTTTGTAATTACTAAGTGTATTGTGGAGAAATATTTAGGTGATGCAAACATCCCATTTCTCATCGCCAATTGTTAACATCTGTCCATGCAGAATCAGGGCGTGGCCAAAGAGTGACTAGAAAGTTACATATTATCATCTGCATTTCTTCGTCAAAATGCTACACTCTCCCAGAAGGAAATATGGTTCCAAGGACCAAACTTGTTTCAGGCGCCAGAGCAGACGTTTCTTACATTAATGATCTCCTTTAGGTTTCACAAGGATTCTGTGAAGTAGGTATTTTCTCCATCCCACAGAGGGGACGCCCTGACCCAGCTGCCTGGGGGTGGGGCTTGGCACCTGCTATTTAAAGCTCCCAGGTGATTTTATTTATTTATTTATTTTAAACATATTTTATTTATTTATTTGACAGTCAGAAATCACAAGTAGTCAGAGAGGCAGGCAGAAAGAGGAAGGGAAGCAGGCTCCCTGCTGAGCAGAGAGCCCGATGTGGGGCTCGACCCTGAACCCTGGGACCCTGACCTGAGCCGAAGGCAGAGGCTTTAACCCACTGACCCACCTCGCCCCTCCCAGATGATTTTAATGGGCAGCCAGGATCAAGAACCACCAGTCCAGAAAACTTCATAGAATTGAAGGTCTTTCAATTCAGGTATTCAACGGTGAACTCTTTCTAACAGAAAGAGCCTCCATTAAAAATGTCTGATTCAGTATTTCCCAAAGTATGTTTCTCAGACCACACCAGTCTCCCAGCTGTTCATAAAAAGAGTTACAGGAGTTAGTAAATCCAAACCAACTGCCTTCTAACTTGGAAGATTCATAAAGCATGTTGGCACAATCCAAGAACTTGAGAAACACTGTAACAAAGAAATCTCTTTAAATCTAATTTCACCCCAAATTCTTCAATCCTGGAATAACTTTACCTGCAAGGTCGATGAGCCCCGCATAGGGCCACTTCTGCGGTCTGTACTCGGGCAAATGCTGGTAGAATTGGCATGACTTCCAACCAAAGAAGGATTTGAGAAGATGAAGATGGGTTTGTAGTGTTGGTTTATTTAAATCAAAGCATTCTCATGATTTCATATGTCGTTGTGTTTCCTAAATAAACAAATGCATATATTAATACATGGATCCAACGTGTGAATGTCTGTATTCGTTTTGCCTTTACTCCTTCTATGGAGAAGGGATCTGTTCCATATTAATAAAGGCAAAGCATGAACTGCCAAATTTTTAGAAGGAATTGGATGCTTTTGTGCTTCTAAATTCTGTTAATTAACTAACTTGCTTATCTACCTAAGAGCATCGCCAATGACTAGAATAAACTTTTGGGACAGACCATGTAGAAGATGCTGGCCATATCCAGACAGTTCACCTTGGCCTCTGCCTTTGGGATGCTTTCAGTCTAGTAAGGAAGACAGACACGTGCTTGGACAATAAATAACAATATACAGTAGGTTTTGGAAAGTGTCAAGAGCACAGGGAAGAGGGTGCCTCTAGGACACTGTGGCTGTGTTCTCTGTCCTGGTCTATTACAGATGCCTAGTTACCCCTGTCCTCTATGAGAAGGGCATTGGAGAGATTAGTCAAGGGTCTTAATTCCCTTGAAACCAAAATTACTTTTCTGAAGTAGCATAATCTCTATTGTTTCCAATGCACTGTGACTTTGAACAGTTCATGAGACTCCTGGAGAGTGTCCTGCTGTCCCTGTTAGGCATGTTTGTCCTCACTTTCAAGTGCTTGTCCCCATCGGAAGGACAGGCTGGCAAGGAGGGGATGGCACAAAATGCAATTTGATCTTGAAAACAAGATTTAGACTTGCTCATTAGGGCCAGTCTAACTGGGATATAAAATGCTTATTTAATTACAGCTTATCCACTTTAAATTGAAATGAACAGATAGTTAAATTTCTTGAGACATCTATTGTGAAACATGCTCTGTTGATCTCGTGGCAGTGGAAAGATACCGCTCAAAGTAATTTAATATGCTTCCTTTTTCACCTCTAATTTTAATAGCTTATAAAAGATATTGCATTATTGCAGTCGAAGTCACTATTTCTCCTTTCACAAATTCCCACTTGGCACCATATTCATTCCGGTCTTTCAAGTGTCAGTCTGACGTCCTCGTTGGTTTCGCACCTGTTGTCGGTTGTGTCTTTCCGACGGTGAGATACACTAGTTCTAAACAACTTCACAGTAATAGATCTAATTTGTTGTTCGACTTGGCATGTTAAACATCGTTATTCTTCTTTCGATTCGGTATCTGCTGCTTTCTTTTTTTTTTAATAAAAATTTTTTAAGATTGTATTTATTTATTTGACATACAGAGATCACAAGTAGGCAGAGAGGCAGGCAGAGAGAGAGAGAAAGAGAGAGAGAGGAGGAAGCAGGCTCCCCGCTGAGCAGAGAGCCCGATTTGGGGCTCAATCCCAGGATCCTGGGATCATGACCTGAACGGAAGGCAGAGGCTTAACCCACTGAGCCACCCAGGTGCCCCCAATCTGCTGCTTTCTTGATGAGAACCTTATCAATCCTAATTATAATATGGGGTATATTGAAGTCACCACACACCATGTATTTTTGTCTTAATTCACCTAAGAGAAATAAACATATCTCATTCTATGAAATAAGAACTAATTTTCTCATCCAAATTCATTCATAGTGAAAAGACCATTGAGGTCAATTATTTTAATTAACTTATACTATGGAAGAAAGAGGAACTGGTTAAAAAAAGTGAATATGGGCTGAATGTGGTTATATATTTATATATATTTAAAAGTCTATTTTATTAGGCTAATGTAAACCCACAACAGCCAGGATTAAAGGTTTAAATTAATGGATGGCTGAGACCAACAAACTTTCAGGGTTCAAAGTTTTCTTTGGTTTTAATCCCTAATGGTTGTAGTGACATTTTTTAAAAGCAGGAAAGGAAAGATGGATAACAGGGTACAGGGGATACGAGCCTTTTATCATATCTAAATTCTGGGTGTCTATGAACTTCACTTGTATAACCAGAAAACAGAAGATATCAGAGTTGGATTTGTCATTTGAGGAATTTCATGCAAATGTAAATGGAAAGTGAAAAAGGCAATGATAGAAAGGAAAGTATAACCAGCCAGGTCACTATAATGAGGACAGAAGTGTGTGCACTACTTTCCTGGATACTGAGGAAACACACAGTGTGCTGTGTAAGGTGCTCCCGCCCCAAGTCTCATCCAACAAAGATGAGGAACAATGTGCCTCCTGCCCACAGTGCGGGGCTCAGGAAGAGGATGGGCTTAGAGGACATACAGGAGGACCAGGAAGGACTGTGACAAAGATACAGACGTCCATTCATTCATTACCCAGAGCAGAGGTTCTCAAAGCTGGTTGAGCATCAGAATTGCCTCCAGAGGTTAAAGAAAAAAAAAAAATAAAATTACAGATTCCCAAACCTAAATTCAGATCCACTGACTGGAGAGTTGGGGGAGGGTCCTAGGAGTCTGTATTCTGCGGGACCTCGTGGGATGGAACAGGTGTTCAGATGATTGGGCCAATCTGGGAACTGCTGCTTAGAGGACTGTAGCAAGCTTTGGAGAGGATGGGTTGCTGATTAAATAAAAACATCGACGTGATTGGTTGTGTGAACATACATGTAGAACTTCCGTTCTATCTGTTGCTGAAGGAGCTATTAATCCATCAGGACTTTTCAATAATGCAAAATGCAAATTGTCCAAACGTGAATCATATTTATTTCTGCAGCCCCACTCCCCATCCGAACAAAAACAGAACTGATGATGGTATCA